CTGGGAGGGGGCGGGAGGGGGCGCCTGGCTGCGGCCCCGCGGGAAACCCAGTGATCCCCGCGAGCTGCCAGGTCAGGTCTGGCGCGGGGAGTAGAGGTTCGTGGGCCCCCTTTTCTGTCTCACTGTTTTCTCCGGCTGTGAGCCTGGGTAGGTCTCTCACTCCCGGACTGTTGCTAAAATGGTATGCACCCCCATATGGTGCCCAAGACCCCCCAAAGTCCCACACAGTGCCTCACCAGGGGTGTGCTCTCACTGGGATGGGGAACAGTCAAATGTGTGCCCCCTCAAAGAGCTGATTTTGGGGGGGAAATAGCATTTTGTGCCCTGCAATTCCAAACCCCCTGAAATAGAAAGGGTCTCTCCTCTTTTTTTTAATTACACAAGTGAAAGGTGACTGTTTTCTTCACTGTGAAAGGCTCAGGCTGACTGAGCAAGGAAACGTTCCCCCTGTCTGGAGCCCAGGCTGGCCCCTTTTCTCAGGCTGTTTCAATGCATCTGTGTATCAGCTGCGTCAGGTCCCAGTGGCTGTGGGGGTGGCCTCCTCTTTCAGTGGGTATTGGAGCGGATCATTCAGGTGAAGGTGTGCAAGAGCCCTGAGGGTGCTGTCTGCAAAGTGACCCCGAGTCTCAGTTTGGGATAATGATGGGCTGTTATCAAGTTCAAGGCATAGGCCTGGCACAGAGACGGCTGGGCATGCAGCAGCTGGCAATGGGCAGAGCACTCACCGCAGCAGGCAATGGGCAGAGCACTTGCGTCATCCATTCAACCAAATAGCTGTGGAGCACTGTTCTAGTTGCTGGTGACGGGATGGACAAAAAGCCCTGCTCCTGCAGGTAACCGAGCTGAGCTGAAGCCATGCCTCTGGGACAGACCCTGCAAACCAGGCTGGAGAAAACCCAGGGGCCTCTATCCAGTCCATGCCCCAGATCCCTTGGCCAGGGCTTGGGTGCCTGTCCCAAGGGAGTCCTTCCCCGTTCCCTTTGGAAGAGGCAGGCGGGGCTTCCCTGGGATGATACTCAGTTTATTTACTCAACAGGTATTTATTTGTTGAGATCTCTTCAGATGATAATGCATTAAACCAATCAAAGGCATTGAGATTGGTCATATTTTCAATTCTGCATATTAGTTGAGACTGTGGTTCAGTGGTTAGCCACATGGGCTCCTGGGTGAGACAGCTGAATGCCTTGGGCCTCAGTTTCTCTTTCATCTTCAGTGAGAGGGGGCGGTCCTGACCTCACATAGAGCTGATAAAAGAAGATTAAGTGAGTTAATATATATCAGGCACTTCGACTATGCGCTGGCACCTAGTAAGTGTTTGCAATGATTATTTCTACTTTTACAATGTCACTTAAGACATATTATTACTAAGTCAACGGGCATATAATTTGTTTTACTGTACAGAGCAACCTTCTATAGTTACATATATTTAAATAAAACTATAATAATTTTGACTTAAAAAAATGAACATGGCAAAAATTCAAACGGTGCAAAAGAGGAAAACAGTAAAAAGTAAGTTTTGCGAAAACTACTGACTCAGGTTTGCTGAACCTTCCCCAGAAGGAGCCATGGTAACAATTTCTTTCAGTAAATATTTACTGGGAGCTCTTTTGCATCAGGCACTGTGCTAGCCTCCAGCACAGGAATGAGTGATCTGGTCCCAACTCTGGGAAGGGGCCCTGGCATCTCTAGATTTGAAAAGCATGGTTTGGTGGTTCTAAGTCTCCTGCCTCAGCCAGGGTTGAAAACCTCCTGTCCGATTTCTAATCAATATCATCAGATATTTGACATGAGATGTTGGAACCAATTTAAGTTACTGAAACATTTTTTTCTTCCCAAAATGGGAAGTGATCTTGGTAAGACTGACTCTTTGAGGTCAGTTTTTGAAAAGTTGCTTTTTAGGAGACAATTACATTTTCTTCTATCATGTACTTAACTGAGCTGGAGAGTTCTGGATCAAATATTCTGAAGGCAGAGGCTGGTGTGGATTCAGAAACCCTGCCACACTCTCAACAGAGGACAGGTGCTGAGAACGTCCTTAGCAAATCGGGAGTCCACAGGAAGGATTTGTAAACAGTCTTAATTATTTGCTCCCATGAATAGGATAATAATCTCTTCCGAGAAGCCAAAAGACAAACAGCAGCATTTTAGTGCAATCAAAACTGAACTGCTCTCTTCTCTTTCTCACAAGAGTTTCATGTTCATAACCAGAAGGAAGCTTCTATCTAGAACAGGGGAAAGTAAACCCTAAGGCTGACGATGGATTGCTGTGGTTATCTTAACTCTGGTTTTGTTCTAACAAAGATCCTAATTTTGTTGTTTCTGAACGTAATTGTTGTAGAAAAAAATAAGAAAATTATAAAAGAGGGAAAGAATGACCTGTAATTAATTGGACAATCACAGAGCCAAGCTGAGAACTGAGCGAGCATTTATTGAGTCCTTGTTCTGAGGAAGGGACTGCAGGGGAATCGAGAGGAGTGGTGCCTGCCCTCCCCAAGCTTAGAGCATCTAAGTCTGCAGGCGTAGCCCTCGGCAGTTTCCTAAGCACCCACACAATTAAGAAGGGTACTTTAGCCCTGGCCAGTTTGGCTCAGTGGTTAGAGCATCGGCCCATGGACTGAAGAGTCCTGGGTCAGTTCTAGCCAAGGGCACGTACCTCGGTTGTAGGCTCGATCCCTGGCCCCTTCGGGGTGTGTGCAGGAGGCAACCAGTCAATGTGTCTCTTTCAGATCGATGTTTCTCTCTCTCCCCCTCTCTCTCTCCCTCTCTCTCTCTCTCTCTCTCTCTCCCCCCCCCTTCTGCTCTCTAAAAAGCAATGGAGAAAATATCCTTGGGTGATGATTTTTTTTAAAAAAGGGTATTTTTAAAAATTCAACAACTTTCACTGAGGGCCTTTGGTCATTGAATGATCCATTCACAAGCATGTGAACCCTTGGAAAGCTCTAAAAGTCATGCTGGCTCACACCTGCCTCCCTCCTTAGGTCACTTTAGTCTGCTCAGTTCAGTGGTTATACCAATATGGAAATTTTGTAGAAGCAAGGATGTCGTGACAGATTTAGGGAGACAGGCCTCAGCCATTCCTTCTCTACAAATATTTATTGAGCACTGACTGTATGCTTGGCTATGCTAGGTTCTAAGGGGTGGGCAAAGTCCAGCCTGCAGGCTGGGCACCTGCAGTTTGTAAATGAGCTTATTTGGACCAGCCACACCTATTGTTTATATTTACATGTAGTCTATGGTTGCTTTGACATCCAATAACAGCATTGAGTAGTTGCCTTCCAGCCACAAAGCCTAAAGCATTTACTATCTGGCCCTTTACAGAAAAAATTTGCACTCTCGTGCTCTACAGCACTGAACAAAGTAGATTCAGTCTCCCTGCCCTCAGGGGCTTTGGAGTCAACCCGTAGTAGTGCCCGTTAAATGTTTATTATAATTTTGCCTGCCTGGTTCTTTTCTACGAAAAGGAATTTCTTCGCACTGCTGGTGGTTGTGGTGACACTCACCCACAGAGATGGACAAGAAACGCACCCTCCTGAAGGAACTGAATGGCTCCAAAGGAGCTAACCCTCAACCTGATTTAATTTACTAGCATATCTAAAGTGGGAGAAGTGCCCATCAATAGGACTGATCAGCCCTGGGGGCATAGAGTAAAAGGCACCACTCCTAGGAAAAGGGAGTCAGTCTGGGGCCAGCCTGATGTGATCAAACATTCAGTTGATCTGATCTAGTTCCCCTGTAGGTCTGATTGGAGTGAACTTGCTGGTTAGGCCCACTACTGGGTAAGCCAATCAGTTTCAAATTGTACTTGAGTGTGCTGACATCTCAGGGCTTACACATCAAGTGCCTGAATCTGAGCAATGGGAGTCTGCCCCTAAGACAGGCAGCCCCTTCCCGGGGCTGGCAAAGTCAGGCTTCTGGATCTTCGGGCTGAGTGCCAGATCTGGACTGTGACACTGACCCCACCATAATGAAAACCTTTGTAATGAGCACTGAAGTGGTGAGAGGAACATTTGGGGAGGCACACTG